AAGAAAGAACTACTATTTTGAAATCATGATTTGGCTGAACATTTTGTCTCTGAGTTACTTCTGGTATTATTTGCTTTATGTTGTTATGGATTGTTGTGGACTATTGGTTTTGGACCCGACTTGGTGGAAGCTCGTCACTACTTTCAACCTACGGCTAGGTTTGTTACTTACTCAGTACATGGGGTCGGTTGTACTGATACTACACTTCTGCACATTGCGTGCAGATGTTGGCTGTTGTTGTTGCTGTGCTCGATGGTTGCGGGACTTGAAGATGTACCTGCGTTCCTGTTGTAGCTGCCTCTTGTTCAGGGTAGCCTTAGATTTATAAAAGCTCTGTTTATGTATTATTCAAACAGACTATGTATTTATTTCATTTCCGCTTTGTATACTCTATTCTTAGAAGCTCATGATTTGTACTACCAGTTCTTGGGGAGATGTATCGGTTTTAGATATTTTCTTTTAATTAATTTTATTGGAATTAGATAGTTGGAAATTGGCTTACCTAACGGGTTGGGTTAGGTGCCATCACGACTAGTGGGTTTTTGGGTCGTGACAGTTGATTTCTAAGATCAACAGATGAGATGAAAAGAAGAGCAGGGCGGGTCAACAGGAGCGGGTGGCGACCGGGTTTATTAAAGGGCTCATCTGGTTTGGGCTTGGGGTTATTGGGTCAAGGATTTTGGACGTTTAGGCCATTGAATTGGTCCGGAATTTGTCCTATTTTGGGCCAGCATTTAAAATACCCGAATTTAATTAAAAATAAATTATTAAAGGGTCTTTTTTCTCTCAGCGAACGTTAGGTGACCTTGCTAACCTGCGCATCCACCGAAAATGGAGGGAAGAGGATGATGAAAGAGGAACACCAGTAAAATGCCAGTAGTAGAGAAGAATCTTACTAATATCATACTGCGGGAACAAGGAAAATAAATAGCTAAAGCCAAAGAAAAGATGCAAGATGAAGAAGAAGACACTGAGAGTGACCCTAATTGACCAGATCTGAGTGATTCTAGGGTTAAATTGGCTACTCCGGTAAGATCAACTGTCAAGGAGGCAACGAGATCACCAATTCAAATAGGTGAGGCGACTACTAGCAAAACAAACCCCAATGGAACAATGCATGCAAGCCCAATAGCAGAGCAACAAGTTGCAGAGAGCAAAGAGTAGAGGAGTACACAAGATAAAGTTGATGAGAAAGCTGGAGAAGGCGGCAGATCTTGGGCAAGATTATTTCAGGAGAATAAACTTGCTGCAAAAAGGATGAACTTATCATACATCCCTCCGGTGATACAAGTTGGAGAAATAGTAGTTCAATTGTTAGAAGAAGACCTTGAAGAGGAAAACCAGAAGTGGAATTGAGCTGTGATACTATATGTGGTGGGAAATACTCCGACCATTGGGGCAATTGAAAGATTCATAGCAAGCCAGTGGAGCAGGGTCAAAAAACCAAAGGTACTTTTCCATAATGATGGCTACTTTGTAATTTTGTTGTCTAGCAGCGAAAAGAGGGAAGATGTACTGATGAATAGACCATACACTATCAATAGCAGGCCTATTATCATGAGGCCATGGACATAAACCTTTGACTTCAATGAAGAGATACTAAAAACTATTCCACTATGGGTTAAATTCCCTAATTTGCCTCTGAATTACTGGAGTAAACAGGCTTTGACTAAAATTAGAAGTGGCTTAGGCAAACCGCTATATGCGGATGGATGTACTACAATTACAGAGAGGATTACCTATGCTAGAATTCTGATTGAAATGGACATCACCAGGCCTACCTCAGAAGATCAAACTACACGATCCTAAGGGTAAGGTGTTGGAGAAGATAATGCACTATGATTGGAAACCACATTACTATCAAACTTGTTGTCAGTTGGGTCATTCATGCAGAGATCAAAAGAAACAGAAGCTCGATGGTGAATTACAAAAAGGTATTACTGTGAAACTAAAGCAAGAATGGAGAGCAGTGAGGAAACTGGACCCTGCAACAGATAAAATTGATACACAAGGCAGATTCCTTGACCAAATGGAGAGTGCACGCAGTGAACAAGTAATCTAAGTAAAACCAGATAAGAATTGGCAACTTGCTAGAGGAAAGTTTGCCTTAAAGAATAATGTAGCAACTGCAAAGGAGAGTGAAGTTGATATTAGGAATGCTTTCAAGGCCCTAGTGGACACAACACAAAAAATAGTACAAATGTCTGAGGCTCACAATACTAGAGGACAGCAGAACAGGTGTGATAGAGGAGGTACCCTACAACAATCCAACTTATGCTGATGAACATTGTAACTTGGAATGTAAGGGAGATGAATAAAGTTTATAAAAAAAAGAGCTCAAAATATTTTATAAGGAGAATAAGGTAGTACTAATAGCTATTATAGAAAATAGAGTCAAAAAGGAAAATGCAGCAACAATAATGAAGAAGAGCCTAAACAACTGGAAGTGGGTAGACAATTATGAAGATGCATCAGGAGGTAGAAAATGGATAACATGGGATCAAATGCAAGTGACATTCTCTTTGATCAAAACCCGTGAACAATTCATACTGGGACAAGTCAGCATAGTTCCAATTTTAATTTTTGTACAGTATATGAAAAGCATACTATTCAAGATAGGAAGAGGTAATGGGAGGACATGAAGATACTACTAAATGGTATAAGTGGACCAAGTCTGGTAATGGGTGATTTCAACACCATTTTATCCAATGAAGATAGAATACAGGGGAATCCAGTTCAGGAAAGTGAAGTTAGGGACTTCAAAAACTTTATGCTTGATAGTGGGCTTGAGGAGCTAAAGACACTAGGAAGAAAATTCACGTGGACAAATAATCAGATACACAGTAGAATTGATAGAATCCCGGTGAACTCTAAATGGGTGCAAAAAAGGACACATATGACAAGGGTTGTTATGAATCCTGGTTTCTCTGATCACTACCCAATAAGTGTAGGATTTGATGATATCTCTGAGCAAGAAAGTAGGCCTTTCAAATTCCTCAATTGCTTGGCAAATCATGAGGAGTGTGATAAAGTATTGCAGCAATGCTGGAGGCAGAAGAGTATATGCACATGTATGATGAATGTATGGAGGAAACTTAGAATGCTGAAAGGCAATCTAAAACAGCTGAATAAGCAAGAGTTTAGTGGAGTAGAAAACAAGATTCAGACGACAAGGTACAAGCTAAACACCATCCAGAATAAGATGCACATTCTTGATGGTGACTCAGAACCAATGGAACAGGAAAGACTAGCAAAAATGGAATTGGAGAAATGGCTGATGGTTAAGGAGAGTGTGTGGAAACAGAAATACGGAGTGCAATGGCTCAAATTGGGAGACTCAAACTCAGCATACTTCCATGTTTGTATGAAAAATAGACAAGCAAGGAACCACATTGGCAAGTTGACTAGTAGTGAAGGGCAAATACTGAACCATCCTGATGAAGTTGAAAAGGAGATCCTAAGTTTTTACAAAGTACTACTTGGGTCAGCTGCGACTCAATTACCAGTTGTCCTGCCAAACATTATGCAGAATGGTTACACCTTAAGTCATAGCCAAAAACTGCAGCTCATCAGACCAATCACAAGGGAGGAAATAAAACAAGCTATGATGCATATTGAGGATAATAAAGCACTAGGGTATGATGGATACAATGCTTTCTTTTTTAAAAAAATATGGCCAATCTTAGGAGAGGAAGTCACTTATGCAGTGATGGAGTTCTTTCATACTGCTGAAATATGCAAGTCCATCAACTGCACAACCATCACCTTGATTCCTAAAGTGAAGAATCCAGCCAATATCAAGGAGTTCAGGCCAATTTCTTGCTGCACAATCCTTTATAAGATTATCTCTAAAGTTCTAACATCTAGATTGCAGGGAGTCATGCATGATATAATTGACAACTGTCAAACAACCTTTGTACATGGGAGATTATTTACATATAATATAATTATGATCTATAAGCTAATTAAAGGGTATAGGAGGAAGAATATATCCCCAAGGTGCATGTTAAAAATTGATATGCAAAAGGCTTATGATTTTGTTGAATGGGTTTTCATTGAGCAAGTGACGAAGCTGCTGAGATTTCCTGAGATATTTGTCAAATGGATAATGGCATGTTTGTGTTCAGTCTCATATTCAGTACTTATCGATGGCAAGCCAACAGTACCCTTTGAGACAAAGAAAGGACTAAGACAGGGAGATCCCCTATCCCCATTTCTATTTTTAATGGTTATGGAATACTTGAGTAGGTTACTAAAGCCTTTGAAGGAGAAAAAGAACTTCAAATTTCACACAAAATGTTCAAAAATCAATCTGGTGCAACTGGATTTGCTGATGACCTGTTATTATTTTGTAAAGGAGATCTTCAGTCTGTAAGTATACGTTACAACTAGTTCCAAATATTTTTTGCAGCCTCAGGTTTAGTAGCAAATCTAAACAAAAGCAATGTCTACTTTGGTGGAGTTAGTTGTGAGGTGCAGAAACAAATTATGGAGCTACTTGGCTACTCTAAAAGTGATCTACCATGTAGATATCTGGGAGTTCCCCTTAGCACAAAGAGACTAACAACTGTTCAATGTGAACCACTGATCGATAAGATGCTAGGAAGAGTTCAGAACTGGACTTTTAAGTTCTATCCTATGCAGGAAGAGCTATGCTAGTGAAAAGTATTTTATTTGCTGTCCAAACTTTCTGGGCTCAAGTATTCATCTTACCAAACAAAATAATATAGTTCATTGAGGCTATATGTAGAAGATTTCTATGGACAGGGGCTGCTGAACCTACTAAAAATGTACTAATTGCTTGGAAAAAGCTTTGTGCTCCAAAGGTAGCAGGGGGCCTTAACTTCGTTGATGTTGAGATGTGGAATAAAGCAGCAATATGTAAGCTCTTATGGAGCATCTTCACAAAAAAGGAGAAATTATGGGTGATATGGGTACATTCATACTACATTAAAGACAAAACTGTATGGGGCACAGAACCAAACAATGCTTCTTAGATCATGCAGAAACTTTTCAAGCCTAAATACTACTTTAAGGCTGCTAGATACACTGAAAAAGATATTTCTCAGATGAAAAGATTCTCAATTCGACAAATCTATAAAGATATGCAAGGTGAATTCCAGAAGGCGACATGGAGAAAGCTAGTATGTAATAATCAGGGATTGCCAAAGTGGACCTTTATCATGATATTAGCATTGCTTAATAGGCTTGCTACAAAAGACAGATTGGCCAAATGGGGTATCATTCCAGATCAACTATGCCACTTATGTGAAAAGGAGAATAAAACAGTGCAACATCTTTTCTTTGAGTATGAAGTCACTGGAAGCATATGGCAGCAGCTGCTGTACTGGCAAGGAATACAGAGAGTGAAGAAAAAGTGGCAAGAAGAGATCCAATGGATAGAGCAGTTTGCGAAAGGCAAGAGTGCTGGGGCTGCAGTATGTAGAATGACCTTTGCAGCAACGGTTTATCATGTCTGGTAGGAGAGAAATTGTATCTTTTTCCAAAAGAAGAAGAGATCAGCCAAAGCCATAACTCGACTGATCATTCAGGAAATCCATGTGAGGGCTGGTTGTTTTCCTAGGCTAATGAGCACAATGAAACAGATGAATTGGTGCCTAGAAATGGCCTAGGTATGCGAGGAGTATAGTAGAATGGTAGTCATTATTAGGTAACTCCAAGCTGGGGCTTCATGTCTAGCTGAAGCTATGCTTAGACAAAGTACTGTTATGTGCTAGTTTGTACATAATTATACTTGGTAAATAAAATCTTTACTTACCAAAAGAATGAATTATTAAAACGTCTAATAAATGATAAAAATATTATTTATGCTATGAAAAATGCTTGAAAATAATAACTCACCATTATAAAAATATAAAATACTATTTTGGCATAAATAATATAATAAATGCAGTTATTTATAGGATATAAGCTATTATTGTAAAAATTATGTAAATAGCTCAAAAACAAACAAATGTAATTATATGAAATGAAGTAAAATATTATAAAACATACATGTGGGTATAAAGAATAAATTTAGATGATTAAATCAGCCCAAAATAATTTGAAGGAATAATTAATAAATATTTAATATCAATTTTAAAGCTTTAAAAATTATAAGAAATTATAGAAAATACTTATATGACTCTTGTAAATTGGGTAATAATGCAAAATGATATTTCGAAAGCATATAGAATATTTTATAAAATATGAGGACAATATTGGATATCAACACCATATACTACCCATATTCCCATCAGTCAGGGCCCAATTTTCCTGTACTATCTTACCAATCTCTAGATGTTCAGCTAAGTAATTATAGAATCTGAATATTTTTTTTTTCCAGTCTGAGGTGAAGCTTCTATCTGTATGCTCAGGGGGCAATAATTTGAGAAATGAGGATCCATTACCTGAACTTGTAGTGGAGGCATGTTGACCATCCAAGCAGCATTTACAATAGCTCGATCAATCCTACTATACACATGGTTATTATTCCATGTATATGTTCTTCCAACTGTTGGCATTTCATTCATCCTGCAATTTTCTATGAATTCTTTGAAGTCCTTGGTTTCATGCTCTTGTACTTCACTGCCATGGCTTCTATCATCAGTAGATAGTATAGAGTTAAAATCACCCATGATCAACCTACTTCTTCAGAAACAACTCCATCTCCTTGTGCTTGAACACCTTATTGAACCCCTTCACATTACATGCAACTATTATCATGTTTGAGGATTATGAGTATCCCTATACCCTGCAGTCTCACCCTTCCCATATGTTCTATATTTTACAGTCTGAATTTGATTTGAGCTCTGTTCATTAGGGTGTCCTCCTTCAACCAGCATCTTAAATCCATTTATGACAGTTACATGATTACCATGTTGAGGCACTTGTGGATTATTTGTTGCTGATCTGCCCCTCACTTCTCTCCAATCTCCAGCATCATCAAGCATTGTCTGCTTTGTTGGCATTCCATCCTGTTGAGTTGCCTCTGTTGCTTCAACAAGCTCCTGATGTTTGGCTTTGTCATTAGCTCCAACCACCTTCCATTCTGTTTTCTGCTGCTGTGGCTTGGCCTTCTGTTGTGGCACTAGTTTACTCTCATTCTGATTCTGCTGTTGCCTCTCAGTTTGACACATATGCCCTAATTGCCAACACTTAGGACAATAGATTAGTTTCAGTCATACCACAATACTTGTTCAGACACCCTCCCTTTTGGATCCTTGACCTTGACACTACTAGGTAATTCCCTAGTGACATCCACTTCCACAAGGATTCTAGCAAAAGATATTCTAGCATAGCTTGTAGTAAAATCATCAGCATATAGTGGTTGCCCCAAACCACTCCTAATTTTGCTTAGAGTAGTAGGACTCCAGCAGTACTTGTTGAGAATATTTACCTTCAACTTCTAGTTGAAATTCTTGAAAAAAATCATCCAAAATCGAGCTCAATAAATTTAAAAACGATGGAAGAATGAATAAAATTGCCCCAAAAATATATTCTTATATTTGAAGTAGTCTTTAATGCGATTACAACTAGCCAATGAGATCGAACTAGCCGGATGAAACACATCACAATTGTGCACACACAATTGCGATCACGATGCACATATTAACCTACCCCCTACCTTGCGTGATCACGCGATATCATTGAAGCCCATATCCTTAACCACTGCGATCCCATCGTTTGACTGCGATCACACAACTCATCAACACCACCCAAAAACAAAAAACTGCAATATGGTTTAAAAGTGCGCTTAAACACCACCGAGCCTCTCGGGTCCCAATTCAAGCATATACCAATAAATCCAAAAACTTCATACAAACCCATAGAAAGTCTGAAAACATGAAATGAGACCCTAAAATTCAAAATGAGAAATTGAATTGTTACACATTCTATTCATTGGTATAATATATATATATATATATATATATATATATGGAGTATCTTTTTTGCTAGATAAAAAATATGTAATTATACATTTTATATTATATTCGAGATACTGATTATTAATTGTATATTAGTTGTCCATAGTGTTATGCCAATGATAGTTTGGCGAAGCAAATGAGTGGTACAAGGCAGAGAGCAGGAGGATAGTGTAGCAAAAGATGGAAACCAGCTTGCCCACAAAAGTCGTTTTGAGCCGTTTGAAAACAGGGGACCCATCTACATCCACATCCACATCCACATCCACATCGTCCAACCTTTTTCAATAGAAAGATTTTCAAATTTATTGAGAGGTTTGAAAAAGTTAATTTGACTCCCCTCTTTCTATATCTGCCACTCTCTGTAGTTTATTTAATGTGTTTTTCTTGAAACTAGAAGAGGGGGTCCTGGTCCTCTCTCTACCTGTATCTTATTGTCTGTACTAACAAGGGGTCAGTCTTCAAGAAACTCCTTCACACTTTGATACTCTCCTTTTCCTTTAACTTGAAAAAAGACGTTTAAATACAAGTAAGTGCTTCTCTGTAGAAGTTTGTGAGAAGATGAGTGCTTCAAAGTTCATCAAATGTGTAACTGTAGGTGATGGTGCTGTTGGCAAGACCTGCATGCTCATTTGTTACACTAGTAACAAGTTCCCCACTGTGAGTTTCTACTTACCCAACCCTCCTCTTTACCTCATTTGGAAAGAGATTGTGGTTTTACTTGTTCCTGTTTCTTTATTTTTCCTTAATTTCTTTTCTTTTCTGGGATTTGGATGTAAAAGATTCTTTCACTTAAAAGAAACCTTGTTCTTCATTTGTCCCCAGGGAAGTAGGTAGCTAGTTTAGCAGTACTCTATTGGTTAACCTAGCTATTTTGGGCTTTTACTTGCAGGATTATATTCCAACTGTGTTTGACAATTTCAGTGCTAATGTGGCTGTGGATGGGAGCATTGTCAATTTGGGGTTGTGGGATACTGCAGGTACTTCCACTTTTTATTTAATGATTGATTTTTATTTTCTTATTTTTCCCAAATGAAATTAGGTATCTTAGCTTCTAGTAATATACTACTTGCTAATGGTTTTCTAACTGTGTCTTAAAGGTCAAGAAGATTATAGCAGGCTGAGACCACTAAGCTATAGGGGTGCAGACATCTTTGTGCTAGCTTTCTCTTTAATCAGCCGGGCCAGCTACGAAAATGTTCTAAAAAAGGTACTATTATTATCCAACACTTTATCGACTTAATAGCCACATTGGTCTCATTCTTTGAAAAATGAAAAATCTTTCTCCTAAATGAATAGATTTACTCCAATAAAAGCAATTCTCAGTTACAAGGATTTAATTTTATTATGAATTGTATGCAGTGGATGCCTGAACTTCGTCGTTTCGCACCCAATGTTCCAATTGTGCTCGTTGGGACAAAATTAGGTATGTATTGAACTGATACAATTACGATCATGATTTACTCTTTGTGGAGCTGGTGGATGTCCCGAGATTTCTTCCTAGTCCATAGTATTATAACCTGTGATTAATTTCGCGACAGATCTTCGAGAAGATAATCGGTATCTAGCAGATCATATGGGTTCAAACATTATAACACCTGATATGGTACTGACTATATCATTTTGAATTTGAAAATGCTCAGTATAGATTGTACAACAATAATTCAGTTGGCTCCACTGTAGGGTGAAGAGCTAAGGAAACAAATTGGTGCAGCAGCTTATATAGAGTGCAGCTCTAAAACACAGCAGGTATTTATTTCAAGTGTGCTACAAAATAAATTTTCCAGAATACCAACAGTATTATCAGCTACATGTTGACTACTAGGAAAATTTTCGCTATTAATCTACTACAATATATAAAGTTTGCCTTTTTACTAAACTGTTTTATGTATCTGTCAGAATGTGAAAGCTGTTTTTGACACTGCAATCAAGGTTGTGCTTCAACCTCCTAGGAGGAAGGAGGTGCCGAGGAAGAAAAGGCGCAGAAGCACTGGTTGCTCAATTGTGTAAGTTCAGCATTTTAATATGTATCTTGTCAAGACGAATTGGACCTTATGCTATTAAACATCTGTATCCTTATGAGTTAGCCTGATCGCTTGCATTAGCAACACAAAAAGAAACTTAAAGTCAGATGCTTCATCAAGTGCAAACCACAACCACAACATTGAACTCACTTTTGGATATTTTGTTAAACTAGCAAAATGAGTTTGAAAAGAAAACTATAACGGTCAATTGACATAAAGATACTAATCTGGCAAACAACATAGAGTGAAAATGTTTATGCAATGTGTGAATAAAGCCCGATACCTGTTGCGAAGTGCCTCTTTCTTGGAGTTGGTACGTTTCATATTTTCTTTTTCTTTTTTTAACTACACTACTTGCTATTACCAGGTTAAGAAGTAACTTCGGAAATATGCTTCATTAGAGCATGCGAAATTGGATCTAGTGTTGTCTGATTATAAGTCATAAGCAAGCAAGGCAATTGTTTCTGGCTCAGGGTGTGTTTTGTATGAAGGGTTTTCCAATTTTTCGATATTTGGTTGGCTTAAATATTTTAAAAAATATTTCTCTCATTAACTCATTGGAAAAATATTTTTCAAAACTCTTTTTCAACCTTCCTCATNCCCCTCAAAAAAAAAAATATTTTCTACTCTCTAGCCAAACACTAAAAAATATTTTCCGAAATTTTTTTCCACTCACCAATCAAACAAGGCAAAATAATTGACAAAACCATTTTCCTAGAAAGCATTTTCTAGGAAAATATTTTCCATGAAAAAACATTTTCTTTAATACCAAACACACCCTTATTGATCAGTGCTTTTCTAGTTTCAGTTCTGTACGGTTTGTTCCAAAATTCTAAGAACACACTGAATCTTTCTCTCCATATGCCATAATATTGAGGCATCCTTGGTTGCTCTCACTAACGATAGGCATCTGCAGGTGGTCCACATTTATAAAATCTTTTGATTGCTCTGCCAATATTTTTAACTCTACAGATGAAAGTTGAAACCATGATATATTTGTTGATTGTTGATCTTCTATTTGTTCAATCTCTAATGTCTCGCTTGGTTTCGACAGCAGGGGGATCGTGTGTGGAGGCTGTGTCGCTTAGGAACGTTTAGGTGTTACGCTCGTCATATATATCCTTTCCAACAACTACTGACTCGAGTGCTTGCCAGTTGTTTTTCCGTGGCCAGTTGTATTATCTGTTTTGTACCAACTAGTTGTGGATAAGCATAGGGAATTGTTGATTCCTCAGGTCATGGTTTTTGAATATGTGCTTCTTGTGGATACATTGTGCCTGCTTTTACTAATGGTTAGATCAAGATGATTGTCAATTGGTAAAATGAATATCTACTTTGTGAGGATCATTTGCATATTTGCCCTAAAATGCACTTTATCTTTAGACTTACCCATTTAATGAGTGTCAAACATTTATCATTTATCTAATATTTCGCAAAGCATAACATCATATTCATACGCAATAGTCGAATGTATAGTAATATTATAATAATTAGTCAGAATAATACTGATAAAATATCATATGCCAAATCTAATATACCCACAACAGTCCTGAAGCATCTAATAACATCTAAATGGGACGTAAACCTAATGTGTCACGCCTCAATAATTAGTCAGAATAATACTGATAAAATATCATATGCCAAATTTAATATATCCACAGCGGTCCTGAAGCATCTAATAACATCTAAATGGGACGTAAACCTAATGTGTCACGCCTCAATTTTGAAGGAGCACATGGACGACATTCGATATCTTTAAATTTTATAGAGCGAATCAACTAAACATATCTAACACCCATCATCATGAACATACAAGCAACATCTCATAAAACATGCATAACATTAAGTGGAACATATGGCTCAATAGCCTAAAAATATCTAAAAGTCATAAACTATGGCTTATAAGCGTCATATATGTTGGTATTATTAAAAATAATATGGCTTATAAGCATCATATATGCTAAAAATTTCTTTGTAGTTCCTTTTTTTCTCACTTCTTTGTCTTTTATAAAAGACAAAGTCTCTCAATGGTAGTGGAAAGTTTCTTTTTCTCTTTATATTGAATTGGTCTTTGTTGGGCTTCTCTTTAAAAGGGAGTGGCCTAGCATACGTGAGAAATTGGTCCTGAAGGCAAAATGGGTTGATTCCTCCCCCCCCC